GAGAGAGAGAGAGAGAGAGAGAGAGAGAGAGAGAGAGAGAGAGAGAGAGAACACCCCTTTTCCCCTTTTCAGGACCATATTTCTCCTGTAATCCTTTCAGGATTAAATAAGAAATTTCAAGTGTAAATAATGCAGCATAAGTTCCTATAGTTGTTACTTTACATCTATCTTGGGTCTCCAGCCTTAATGAGCATGTGAGTTCTTGTTAGTTTTTATGACTAAAATGTCGCTCAGAAAAGCTAAGATAAGGAGTTCAAAAATAGAGTTTGAACACCAGCACTGTTATTAATTAACCACATGACCTTGGGATAGTCCACTAATCCTAGCAATTCTCATCAGAAGTGCCCAGAACATTCCAGGATGTCACAATCACGGAGGTGTGTCTCAAGTAAATAGTCAATGATGGTCAAGCACTGCAGTTAGGAAGCATTTTGAAAGACATCAATTGTAAAGGGACTAGACACAGAGAGAAGGAAGGGAGAGAAGAGAGGAAAGGCAGGTGGACATGAGTAGTGCACAGTGGAGACATGTTTGGCAATGTCAAAACAAACCTCTTTGATTTCTACGGCTACTATGTGCTATCAAGTATAATAAAAACAAAATACACCAATTAGATCACTCCAAATTTATGCTAATAGTTAAATGATTCTTATTCTCTTGTATTATAATGTTTTTCCCCAGGAAGAGAGAACATGCTAGGCAGCCATAGGCAGAATAGTGGGGACCGAGAATGAGTGACTCATCGCCTCCTGAACAGGTATGAAGGGGTGTGCAGGGAGCTTAAAGCCGTATGATAGATATGGCCATTCAGTGGTAATAAATAGTATCTGAAATACCTTTTCTATCTTAAAATTACCAAAGTGATGCCTTCTGGAGAGAAAGTGAAATGAGCATGGTTTTCAACATAACCTACTAAGTTAAGTTGGATGCATTAGCTTAGAGGAGTGGTTCTCAACCTGTAGGTCGTGACCCCTTTGGGGAATGAGTGACTCTTTTACAGGGGTTACCTAAGACCATCGGCCAACATTTTTACATTATGATTCATAGCAGTAGCAACATGACATTTATGAAGTAGCAACCAAAGTAAATTTATGGTTGGGGTCACCACAACATGAGGAGCTGTATCAAACGGTCGCAGGATTAGGAAGTTTAAGAACCACAGTCTTAGATCAGTGTATCTAAGTTCCCAGGGTTATATGTTCTTTCCCCAGGCCCTGAACTGGAAAATTTTGTGAAACTCTTCAGCTCCACTCAGCCAAAGCAGACAGGAAGTGCCCTATTAACATTAGTTACAATGATGGCAGATTTTTACAGTGCCCATGAGTTGTGATGGCATAAACGCTTCTACTTCCATTTAACGTTCATACGGTATTCCATTTTTAATAACAAGGCTGTGAGGAAAGGCAAGAAAAAGAGGTTTTATACTGCACAAAGTGAAAATGGCTTCAGGTACATTTCTGTCTATGATGCAACCGTTATTTCAAAATTAAAAGGCAGGCAAAGTGATAAAAGGAGTGAAATTTTAAAATGCTCTTCAGGTTTATAATGAGATGTAAATACTCTATAAATTCAGTCTTTCATTATTGTAAATAATGAAATGGGGTTGTTTATGTTTTCTTTCAGTTGGTTTGCTTACTGCCTTATTAAATGCACCTGCAGAAAGGAAGAACTGAAAACTTCAAGATTCTTTGCCCCCAAAATAAGTCTATCAAAGCAATTTTGATTGACTATATTTTTTTCTTCTATATTCAACCTCTGAGACACAGGCTTAGATCAATTACAATCTTAGCCCTAGGTAAGCTCTGCTGGATTTTGTTTTCTAAAGGTGTCTGCAACAACATGTCCTTGCCTGCTTATCAGCAATACAACCTACACCTCCTCTACTAGAGAGGTGTGATCTCTGGCCCTTCCCACTGAAACTGGGCAGGACTGTGACTGCACTGTAATTGATACAATGTGACTAGGTCATTGAAAGTGATATACTTCTGCACTGATCCTATAATGCTAATATTAGAGTCCTGGACTACCATGCTGTAAGAAAGCCCAAGCCAGTCCTCATGCCAACATGGACACATAGGGAAGCCTGAAATCCACAAGATAAGGACACCAGATAGTAATGCCTGAACCATATGTGATTGTCGCCTCATAAGAGATGATCACTTCCAGATATAATAAAACACAATAAAATCATATAGAAGCACAGTAGACCCTAACAGCCAAAGCAATCTTGAACAAAAAGTAGAAAAAACAGAGGCATTACAATATCTGATTTCAAGACATAATCCAGAACTATAGTAACTCAGACAGGCTCATATATCAATAGACACACAGACCAATGGCATGGAATAGATGTCACAGAAATAAGCTCAAACATCTACAGTCACCTGAGCTGTGACAGTGATGCCAAAAACATACACTAAAAACATGTGAGCCTTCTCAATAAATGGTGCTAGGAAAATTGTATATCCAGATACAAAAGGTTGAAACTTGACCCTGTCATTTACTCCTTAAAAGAATCAACTCAAAATAAATCAAAGACCTAAATGTGAGACCTGAAACTAGGAAACTCCTAGAAGAAAATAGAATGCAAATACTTCAAGATATTGACAGACAATGATGCTTGGACATGACCTCGAGGCACAGGAAGACAAATGGAGTTTGAACAACAACAACAACAAAAAAAGATTCTACATAGAAAAAAAAAGCAATCAGTGAGTGGAGAGACCTCTTACTGAACAAGAGAAAGGCTTTGGCAATACTTCATCTGAAAAAAGTTCAAACTTAACATGTAGAACAAACAAACAAAAAACCTTAACAAAAAGTAACCAATTAAAGAATAGGTAAGTGAAATGAATAGGAAATTCTCAAAAGAAGAAGCATAAATGTCCAACATTCATGTCAAAGGTGCTTAGGGGTTGGGGAGATGAACAAGTCGGTAAAGGGCTTGCTGCTCATGCATGAGGATCCGCATTCAGAACCCAAACACCTGCATAAAAACTGGCACAGCAGCGCACATGGAAGCCCTGTGCTGAGAGGCAGAGGCAGGTGGATCCCTGGCCAGCCGGCCTAGCTGAATTGATGGGCTCCAGGTTATTCAAGAGATGCTGTGCCAACAAGATAAAGTGGAGAACAATCAAGGAACATGCCCCACACTGAACTTTGGCCCCCCTCAAACATGAGCACAGACATACACACACTCATACAAACACATATAAGTCACACACACACACACACACACACACACACACACACACATACTGATAAATATCCTTAGCTATGAGGGAAATGGAAATCAAAGCTATAATGAGGTATTATCTTACCTGAGTTAAAATGATTATTATTGTTGTTGTGTGTGCGTGTGTGTGTGTGTGTGTGTGTGTGTGTGTGTGTGTGTGTGTTCAAGACAGAGTTTCTCTGTGTAACATCTCTGGCTGCCCTGGAACTTGCTTTGTAAACCAGACTGACCTCGAACTCACAAAGACCCACCTGACTCTGCCTCCCAAGTGCTGAGATTAAAGGCGTGAGCCATCATGCCTGGCTTCAAATGGTTATTATACAAAATGAATAATAACAAATGCTGGCAAGGATGCAAAGGAAAAAGGACTCATATGCTCTTGGAGAGAATGTAAATTAGTACAGCCATTCTGGAGAGCAGGGACGCTCATAAAAACTGAAAATAGAGCTACTTCATAATCCAGCTATTCCAGCAAAGGAAATGAAATCAGTATGCCAAAAAATATCTCCACACCATATTTGCTGCATAAATAATCACAATATTTAAGGCACAAAATCAACCCAACTGCTTGTTGATGGATAAATGGAAAAAAGGAATATTATTTGGCCATTGGGAAGAATAAGATGATGGCATTAGCAGGAAAATGGGTGGAACTAGAATTGCATTTTATGTGAAATAAGTTACACACTGGAATGTAAGTACCACACATTCTATCGTAAGTGGAAAAGGTTGTTTTTAATGTTTTTATTCATCTATTTATTTTACATCCCAGTGGCAGCCCCCCCCCATCCTCCCCTCCCAGTCCCTCTCCCCTCTTACCCTCTCCCACCCACCCACACCCAATTCCCTTCTCTTCCATCTCCAAACAGGAAAGGACAGGTCTCCCATGAGTATCAACAAAACACGGCATAGCAAGTTGCAGTAAGACTAAGCACTCCCCCCCCCCTCCCCGCACACCCCATGTGTTAAGGCTGGGCAAGGTGACCCAGTATGAGGAGTAGGGTCCCAAAAGCCAGTAAAAGAGTCAGTGACAGCCCCTGCTTTCACAGGAGTCCCACAAGAGGACCAAACTACACAACTGTAACATATGCACAGAGTGCCTGGGTGAGTCTCATGCAGGCTCCCTGGTTGTCAGTTCAGTTTCTGTGAGCCCCTGTGAGCCCACCCAGGAGTCTATGGGGAAGATCCCAGCTTAACTCCTAGCAATAGCGGATAAGTAGCCTGAATTGGCCTCTCCTGTGACCACATTGGTGACTGGCCCAATTGTCATCAGAGAGGCCTCATCCAGCAACTGATGGAGGCAGATGCCTAACATTAAGCAGAGTTCGAGAATCCTGTGGAGGAGGAGGAGGAGAAAGGAGTGTAAGAGCCAGAGGAGTCAAGGAAAACATGTTTTTTTTTAAATAAATCCTAAATGTAAATTTGTGACTACCAGAGGTTGGGGAGAAAAAGGGATAAGATAAAAAAGATATGGCTTTTTTTTTTTTATCAGTACATGTACTGAAATATACACTAGACCACATCAATACATATAATGGATACATGCCAATGGTAATAACAGGATAAAAAATAATGAGTGTATTAAGCTAGGTTTGCCTACAAACTCTTGCATAGCAATTTTAATGAAATGTACAGTATTTTAACTGACCTATAACGGATTCTGGTTTGCAAGACTGACTCAGAAAAATGTAATGAAATAACCTATGAGTTCTGCTTGGCCATTTCTCTAAACTTTTTCCTGAAGATATCTTGCTATTTTTAGTTGATTGATTTCATTATTTGGTTATTTGTAAAACTTTTTTTAACAGATGATGCCTGTCCCTGTCTCACCCCAAATAAAAGATTAACTTATAGTACTAATTGTTTACCAGAGAAAATGAATTTTCTTCTAAATTTGGTTATGGACACAGATGTGTTTCATGCAGATTCTGATCCTTGCCCTGTCTGTACTGTAAAGGCTTAAGAAACCTCTGGCTCAAGTCGCTCCAAGCTTCCATTTCCCTGATGTAAGCCAGGGAATGAACTGCAAAGCCGCTATAAGTACCCATGCAGGAAATAAAAAAGAAAGCGTTTTATAAACGACCCAGATGTAGACCATAAAGCTGTAGTGTGTTTACATGTTCAAAATATGTGTCTCACTGTCCCATCTCCTGCCTCATCTGGGAAACACAAGTGACACCCTCTTTTCCAGTGTGCACACTTGAAAAGTTGCTGCTAATGATCCATTGCCTGAGTGGCACAGGCTGGTGGATTTCTCCAGGATAGGGACCACATCTGGCTGCTTTATTTTTCTCACATTAGCAGTATAATATGGCTTTATGTTTAATATTTTTTCCTACACAGATGTACAGAAATCTGGCCCAATGTTCCCCCTTAAGCCTAAGAGAATAAAGGAGGGGAGGAATGCCCAGCTTGGATTCTACTGGAGGGGTCATTACTGAAAGACCAAGAGGGTCTCATTAGACAGTAGTTTTGCCCTCGAGGCAGCCCCATGGCATGGCCTCTAAGGAGAGCTTTATAAGGATTCTACAGTGCCGGTCCCTGGGATTTTTGGAACTAACATCCAGATGTCCATCTGCTGTGTAGACACTGAGAGCATTGTTTTTGATGATAGGATGTGTTCCTGGTTTCTATTCACTGGTTGAGTAGTCTCCTGTTTCCTTGGGGAGTTAGAGCTGGGGTCTTGGGTGTGGAAATCTCCAAAGAGCTGGAGACATAATTTTCGGGTTTCAAATCTCACATTCAGCTCAGCCCTTAATTGCCCACAGAATTTCTGTTTACCATGCAAGGATAAGGGACCACATGAGCCTTTTTTTTTTTTTTTTTTTTTTTTTTTTTTTTTTTTTACCTATAGGCTGAGACCTCCTTGCAGAAGGCTGGCAATCTCGCCTTGGGGGATATTTCGCAGCTCATTATTTTTTCTCTTTAGCTACGGTAGCCCCACTTCTGCTCATTAGGCTCCGTTCACTACATCATTGCCTTTCTTTAATGTGGCTGCTCTATTAAATAGCCCTTACCTGGCAAAGCCCCCCAGTGTCCCGAACGAGGCTCTGCTCTCCCGCTTTCATGACTCGGTTAGGACGGCATTTTAATAAGCGTGGCACAGGCACTAGCGTCCCGCATTTCCTCCAGCCACAGAGCCCCTCTGCAGCAGAGAGGGGGATGCCACAGTACTCGTAGGACATGCCACTTAGTGTTCAGAGGTTCCTGAAGGCTTTCACAGAAACGCAATGAGGTACACCAAAGGAACGGCTCTTAGCAGAAATATCGGCGTCCCATTTATTCAGCGCTACCAAATATCAAAAGGCAATTGATTAAATATTGATCTGACAACCTCTTGAAAGGGAACAGGTGCTTCTCACAATCTGGCAAGAAAACAGGGTCAGGAACACCAAATGCGGGTACTGCAAAAGCATGTTTGTGAAATCTCCGTGTCTTCTTGCCATGATTAAAAGGCTTGTTAGTCACGGGTGAAATCCTATAGAGGGTATGTGCTTGAGTGTCACTTCGTATTAAG